CTAACTAACTAACTAACTAACTAACTAACTAACTAACTAACTAACTAACTAACTAACTAACTAACTAACTAACTAACTAACTAACTAACTAACTAACTAACTAACTAACTAACTAACTAACTAACTAACTAACTAACTAACTAACTAACTAACTAACTAACTAACTAACTAACTAACTAACTAACTAACTAACTAACTAACTAACTAACTAACTAACTAACTAACTAACTAACTAACTAACTAACTAACTAACTAACTAACTAACTAACTAACTAACTAACTAACTAACTAACTAACTAACTAACTAACTAACTAACTAACTAACTAACTAACTAACTAACTAACTAACTAACTAACTAACTAACTAACTAACTAACTAACTAACTAACTAACTAACTAACTAACTAACTAACTAACTAACTAACGGTCCATTAGGACCTTTTAATATTGAATAAAAAAATCGGCTTTGAATAAAAGAGTGACATAATAACCTCTAAATTCAATACCAGAAACTCTGGAATAGCGAAAGGGTATACGCAAAAATGTATTTCAGTACATTTTTTCGTTTTAAAATTTCCTTGAATTATTTATTTCCATACCATTTATCATGTATTGCATTTGTTATGTATGAAAATGGAAATATAAATGGAAATATTACAAAATGTTAATGGTTGTAGAAAATCCCCCAGAGAGAGAATTGAATAAATATATATTTATTTCCCTGTCTGACGGAGAAATACGAGGAGAAATATGTTATTACAAGTGTTTTTTTGTTGAGCCTTCTTCTCAGGGTTACAAGAATAATTGAACGTATTATATAGCATTTATGTTACGAGAAATTGTATCACTGGAACAATCCAGGAACGGTTTTGGTCTCATTGAATAATTACATGTCGCAAGCATATTTTTCTTTAAGTATTTGGCTTTTTTTTCCGAATACTTTGTATCCAAGACTAATCTATGATATGTTCAATATACATATGTTTTTTCATACTTACTGTTCACTAGTAAATAACGGTTCAATTGGTTCCACAGATTTTTAAAATAAAGATAAGTAAGGATATTAAATTCACTATTTCGTACTTGCCACATTATTCTTTTTTAAAATTTCCAATTCTGAAAAATCTATCAAATAACTGATGAATAAATAAATTTTTAATTAAGTTTAGAGGAGAATAGCCAAATATGGAATATGTTCCTAAAATGGAATACTAATAAATTATTTTAACTAGTTTTGTAGTAAAGGAGTAAATATACGTTCATCTAATATATTCAATTCTTTTATGTTGACTGATTTGTTTTTCATGTAGCATAAAGTAATAAAATGTTTTGTGTAAGGACCCTGTTTTATATTTCCTTGAAACTTATGTTCCATATTAGAGATATATTCCGTATTAGGTATAAAAATGCAGTTTTCTGTAGAATATTTTTCTGATACTCTTATGTAATAAATTAAATATTTTGAATAATAAATTGTTTTCTAAAAAACAAGTGGCGTTATTATGTAAAAAAAAACAGAATAGTATTCCATATTTGGCTCACTTTTCTACTATTAATTAAAAAAAAAATTGTGAATTTAGTAAAGAATCGATAAATAATGGCATTCCACAAAATATTTATCTATATTTACAAAGAAATCGTAAATTCTAATAAAATTATTTAACACCAATTTACTTATCAATGTGAATTAAACTTATACATGTGACTTGATAGGGCAAAATTTCTCGTACAAAAGGCCCGGGTTTCAAATTCAGGGCGAAGGCTAATTAAAATCTTTTTTATTTTATAGTTTAGCAAAAGTCATAAATTCCAATCTGTATTCATTTTAATCTTAATAACCTCTAAATTAATATTCATAATTTTGTAACTTTTCCTTAGTGGGTTGAAAAAAAAAATACTCGAGTGGATTGTCCGTATCGCACTTAGATGATTGACCACGACGACATAATCGAAGTGCTCAAACTTCGCCTTCGCCTTATGGCCATCATATCCACTCCTCTTGTGCTAACTACTATTGTATGCAGTTATCGGTAACTGGTATAGCCCGAACTGAAACAATGTTTTAATTTCAAAGAATTAGCACTCGTGGCGCTGTACACACAATTTACAGAAACCTACAATTGATGGTGGAAAGAGTGGTGTTATTTGTCATTTGTCAATGTCAATGGTCAGTGGCGTCAGTGGCATCCATTATCCATTAACAGGGGGTCGATTCTCGACTTGTAGGAACCTTTTCCTATAGGAATTTGTGACACTTTCCTATATGTAGGAAAATGTCATAAATTTTCGATGTACATAAAAATGTCAAAAATTCCTATAGGAAAATATTCCTACAAGTCGAGAATCGACCCCCAGGAGTGCGTTTAGAAACCTCGCACGGCGCGTCTGGAGTCTATTCTAATATAATATGTGGTAAGACGCGTCGTGTGAGGTTTCTAAACGCACTCCAGTATTTGTTGTGTTTAATTGTTTGTATTTGGGAGTGTCCTCGATCCTGCATAAATAAATAGTAAGTAGTTTGTAAATTATTGTTTATTGTATTGTCAACTTGGTCTTGTTCAACTGTTTTTATTTTTCAGTTTGTTTACTTAATCTTGCTGATGATTGTGAGCTTATTTTAAATTTTTGTGGTGATTTTTTGTTTAAAAGTTGAAATATGTCGTGTTGTTGTGTGCCAAATTGTTTTGTAAACACTCTGAAAAGGCATCGTTTTCCTAGACCCGATCCTAATAATGATTTATTCTAAAATTTTGGTATTGGCTGTTCGCAGTCCATTTTTTAATAATAAAAGAACACAACAAAAACTATTTATAGTATGTGATAAACATTTTGAAAATAAGTTTAAACTTCCTGGTACTCGCAGAGGTCTGTTTTTTTATTTGTTGTAGTACAAACTTTCTTCAAACCGTTTGGAGTGGCAGTATGCACCGTGAAAGACAAACCAGCCTAGTCAGGGAAGTAATAGCCACTGTACTTTTGTATTCATGCCTCACTTTACCTGTTGTCTAACACATTTGATTTGTATATTGGTATAGTTCAGATTGTTACTTTTACTGTTTTTATTTGTTCTAGTACAAACTTTCTTTACGCCGTTTGGAGTGGCAGTATTGTATTGTGGAAGACAAAATAGCCTAGTCAGGGAAGTAATATCTTTTTTATTCATGCCTCACTTTCTGTGCACCCTAACATATTTGAAGGGTGCAGGAACAAAAGGGACTAAGTCACAATTACCAAAATGTTCAGGAAAGCAAATTTAATTTAAACTGACCAAATACAAACTTTTGATACTCAAGGTAATTGATTATAAAAAGATGTTACTTTGTTTAAATGTTACCTGATTATATTGTAGTTTACCACTTAATTTACCAGACAGTTGTAATTTTTTATTCTAAATACTGAAAGTGCCAAACAAACAGTAGGAAAGTCCTTAAATTTTTAAGTGCACTGTTTTGCATTTGCTAATTTGGTTTATTACATGGAAACATACTGGTATTTTACAAAATAGGGCGGACCAGTTCAATTTTGATAAAAATGTGGCTCAGTCGCTTTTTTCTTCCTGTACCCTTCTTGATTTATAAGTTTATTTATATTTATTTTTTGTTTTAGATAAAACTCTTCAACCTCTGTGGACAATGACTTAACTTTCCACCTAATTAACAAGCTACATTTAATTATTCTATTTGTATGTTTTTTGTTTTAATAAATTAATTTTGTTGATCATGCTTTTTAATTTTTTGTAAAATTATTTTTGTAGTCAAGTTAGGATTGGTTCATACTACTAATTTTTTGCTTTATTGTAACAAATATAATTTTTTTGCTACAATAAACGTAAAAAAGGAGTTAGTATGAACAAATCTTAATTTGACTACCACTTTTAAACTAAATATTGAATGACAATTTTGAATGTTCCCGCGTTTTGTGTTAACTAAAGTGACCGCGAGATGGCGCTACTTCCGTCCAAATAGTTCAAAGAACGCTCACCCGGCGGCTACAATACTGTCTCGAATTTTAACATTGCAGTTTCCATTCTAAAAGTAAGTGATCTGTGCTGTTGTGCTTGTATACGTACCAGGTGGACAGAGAACGTCTTATTATAAGGGCAATACTTAAGAAGAACTTATTTAATTAACATAAAGAATATATTATAGACAATTCACAAAATTATATGTAAGGAATATGATGGCGGTGATCTGTAATATGATATGCCCTACATACTTAAGACTTTATTTATGCGATATTTCGACGGAACCCACAGTGGTGGTTGATGTTGTTACGAATATGTGCTTAGGACAGTAAAACTGAAAGCATTCAGTATTGAGTATTGATTGGTATATGAACTAAAACGAAACGTTCTGTTAAATGTTATAATTCGATTTAAGTGTTTAATATAATTCTATTGTTTTATAAAATAAAGTAGTTTATTTATGATATTCCTACATATAATGTCAATTCTCAACATGCTCCCACCTAAATTCATAGAGAATATCGCGTCGTATGACTTAATAACCCAATCTGTCAGGTCGTTTAACTACTTCCATTTGTTGCAAACATATCATCGCCTACTAGATAGGCTCAGCGGAAAGAGAATAACCCTCGTATATTGTATCTTTTCAATCTTAGAGTTATGAGTTTACCACTGAACTATAACTGTTACGGTATAGTTCAGTGGAGTTTACCGATAATGAAAAAAATATTCAATCTTTTTGTATCTCAATGCAAGTCATAAGATAGTATTAGTTATTTTACGCAATAGATTGCGATTCGTATCCGTTATCAGAAAAATGGATTCGAATCCCTTGATTCAAATCTTTCTTTTTTAGTAAAAAAATTAATTTAAAAGCATGTTCTATATAAGCTTTGTCAATGGGGATGATCGAGATAGGAATCCATACTTTGAGACTATAAATATTGTCTAATTATTTTCATAAATTCTTCATATGGTACTATCTGAATCTGTTAATCTTCATTTAATTCCCAGCTAACTAAAAGAGGAAACTTACTCATCAAAAACGGAAACTCCTCGGGTAAAAGTCGTGGCTCCAGACACTCCTGTCACACCTGGTAGTTGTTTTGCTTGAGCTGCTCGCGCTCTTGCCAGAAGACTCATAACAGTTCTTTTTGTGGGTGTCATGGACGTCCTAGGCCCCCCTGCCAGTAGAGGCCTTTTGCGTGTACCTAGTGCAGCTGTAGTAGCCACCGAAGAAAGCGGAGTGCCTGCAGCGTCAGTAGTAGCAGGCAATGATTGTGGGGCTCCATTATTTGGTGCTGGGATGTCCGTCGGTACTGAAGGTGGTGTTGTACCTTAAATAAACAAATATACATTATTAGGAAAGATATTGTATCCCAGGCAAGAAATTATAAAATATAGAAACCAGAAGGAACTTTGATAATAAGGGAGATACGGTTTTTGAAGTTTTGTTTTTAATAATGTGACGTTGTTTATTTTAAATAACAGTTTATTTGTTAATAATTTATTTTAACACTTATTTATTTTATAACAATACCATTCTAATTTATATATATTTCGAATGTCTTTAAATTGTTCACTATTTATCTTCACAACTGTTTGTATATGACTGACTGCTCCGTGTTCCTCCACAAATACTTATATGCACATTTAAAATTCTGGTGGATTCCAGAATGCATCGCCCAAAACTAGAAACATTAACACGTTCAATCTAGAAAGTGCTCGAAAGCGCCTTGGCCATAGTAATCACATATAATTTGTCTTAAGCGGTTTAATTATGTATGATAATTGGACAAGTTGAGCCTCAAAGGCCAAATAAGACAGTTAGGGACTTGGAGGATTAGAGCATGACTGAATAATGAAATGGCTCGCAATACAATAATTTTCCAAAAATTGAATTAATTGGTAATTATAATTAACTATTTGTTGCAAAACTATTTGAATGGGCTTAAAGAAGGCGTTATTTTTGTAAATAGGTAAATAATGAAAGATAGACGTGCATATTTTTATATTCATAAATTTCTTTGTTACACTCAATTTTAATTAAAGTTAAAATCCAACTGGAGGCATTATTTTAAATATTTTTTCTATACCCACATGTATATTATCTATTCTTTGCACAGACTACAGAACAAATACTTAGGCCATATCAGTCTACTAAACGGATATTTATGCTACTGCGTTCAACTGAACGAATATATTTTATATCCATTCTAGGTAGTGACAACACAGCAAAAAAATTAAATCCATCTGTAGTATGACAAGGTGGCTTATTGATAATAAAGAACGTAGGGTTATGGTGAAAAACCTTTTATTATCGGAACAAGAAACTAACATATAACTAAGAAACGAATGAACTGATATAATATTATGAATGTTTATTCGCGTATGAATAGAAGGATTGTCTTGTATGTACCCCCTGAATGACCTGCTATAATTTGTATACGTTAAAACCACGTTTGTATGTATGTGTGTAAGAAATGCGAGTGTCCGAGTTAACTACAGTCTTAGGGTCTATTTATGCTCCCTTATTATTAGTATTTGCATTAGTATTATGATTAAGCATTAAGTTGAACCTTCACAATGTAATGGGGACATTTATACTCGATTTATGATTAGTATTAGCATTAATATTTATGCTTAATAATTGACAGGTTCAACTTTTAAATTAAACATTAAATTTCTTCTTTTCTATAAATAATCAATTGCGTATTTGGCCTTTGTTTTTAATAGACAACGGATAAGGATAATTGACAATACACATATGATTATGTTGTTTATATGTTTGTTCCAACAAGCTCGAAAATGATAATATTTCGGTACAAATCATGCTCTGTATACAATTTTTGTGTATCAGCAGTGTTCACCGATTATAAAGTTGACAAATGACATGTCACCACGAGGAAGCAAAGGCCTCTTTTCTGTCTGATTTGTATCAAATTTCTGCTTCTTTTTATTTGTTATAAATTTGAGTTTTAAATCCGTTAAAATGTCCTTAATTAAACCTATTTTTGAATAATAATATTTTTAAATAAAACTAACTAGTAAAAATATTAATAGGAACACATTTAAAACTCAAATATCTTAAAAGAACACAACCGGCCTCTTACACATTTCTTCAGTAACCATATATTTTGTTGACTGCAGAATTATATCTTATTAGGTATTAGGTTTAAATAGTTTAAAAAAGAATTACTAATACTAATTATAAAACGAGTATAAATACCTTTTTTGAATGATTTAACAAATTTAATGCTTAATCATAATACTAATACAAATACTAATACTAAGGGAGTATAAATAGACCCTTACTTGATCGCGCTAGACAAACTATAACAATACGTCGTGAACTTCATAGAACACTGTCCCAGTGGGATGCCGTCAAAAGAGGGTAACCATGTTACCACATCATCAATCACAGTTCATATTTTGGACACCCAACTACTGTTATTTTAAAAAAAATTAAATAAGTGACAATTCTGTCAAAGTAATTGTCAGCATATTTTTTAGTTATTGAAATTAAATATACATTAAAATGAGTTATTTTTGTGTAGAATAGATAAATAATAGCATTTTTTGGTCCACATTTTGAAAAGAAATTAAAATTTTAATCAAACTAGATGAAATTAATTTAATTACGAGTATTAAAACTAAAATCCTAAAAGTGGCGATGGAGGTGAGAACACAGCGTCTGCCTTCCACGCGAGAGACTTGGATTCAAATCTGCGCTGGGGACTAATTAAATCTTTTTTTTTTAAATTTGTAAACTTTCGTTGGCCATCATATCCACTCTTGTTTCACAAACTACTCTTTTTGCAACCTCAAATATTTGTAATTGTAAAAGTTTTATCCTACGTAGCTATAAAACATTAACGATCTCTCAAATATATTTTGTATAGAGAGTTCGAACCAACAAAAAACGAAGGTAATGCACAAAAGATCTAATCCAAAAAAGCTTAAATGTTGCTGATGAGAGTCCAATTAGCAACTGTACTCGACACGATTTACTTTTTCTTTCTTTTAGGAAAGTGTACCATTATATTTTCCCATTTAGTTGCAAGTTGAAATGACTGTCTTTCTTTACGAAAAACAAAAGAATGTAAAGAAGGAATAGTAAACTTAAAATGTCGAGACAATTTATGGATAGGATTTCAAAAGTAAATATTTTATTAAAATTTTTATTTGTGAGCTGATTAATTTAGAAATGCTATTATTTATCAATTCTACACAAGAATAACCCATTTTATTGTATGTTTAAACTCGATAACTAAAAAATATACTGACAATTAGTTTGACAGAATTATAACTTATTTAAAATTTTAAAAATAATAGCAGTCGATTGATCAAATTATGAACGGTGATTGGTGGATTTCATTTTGTTGCAGTGTTCTCACTACCTAGAATGGTTATGAAATATATTCGTTCAGTTGAAGGCAATATCATACTTTTTCGTTTTGTAATCTGTGCGTAGATAAGCTAATATCCATGTGGGTGTAGAAAAAATATTATTTTTCTCCTAATTAAAGTCGTATTTTAATGATTCATAATTACTATTCTGGCGTCATACGATTGAAATTTTTTAAGAACTAAATACTTGACACGTTCCAGATGTTTGATATAAACCCAACCACAATAAACAGCAGGAAAAATGCAGGAACAAGTATTCCAAATCCTCTTAAAAATTATCGAATATATATATTTTTAATTTTGTAATTTAGTACCTAACTAAATAAATTTTGTTTTTCCCTGGTATGTAAGTTATAAGGTGAGATTCTTACTATTATACATAAAGTTAAGGTATTCGAAGGTGTTACATTTATTATAATTTAATAAAAATCCTAAATTTTCCAACACTAGCATAATATGTTTAACACTTTTATCTATGTGAAAACAAAAACGTGATGGTTAGAGACCAATTGGCATTGCATTATATTCATAAAGACAATCTATAAGTTAAATTCTTAAATACATATATTTTTTATTTTCTTCTTTTGAAAATAGGTACCATATAATAGACGTTATGTCAACAGTAGACATAAAACACCCTTCTTTTTTTTTCTTGAACAGATTTATAATTTTCTAATTTGAAATGTGTAGGATCGATTATAATCTTACCATCCGATTTCGAAACTACAAAAAATAAATAACATTTCTCCAGAGACACGTTTACATTTTTTAATCACACCTTTTTTAATTTATTTTATACGAAGAATTATAGTTATTACATTTATTGTTAATGATAAATGTTAATAAATCAATTATTATCAGATTACCAAAACATGAGACAATTATATTGATTGAACCTCATAGGGGAACATTTTCCGCAGGTTCTTTCTAAAAAAGCAACAAATAAACCTGTGACAATTCTAACTATTGAGATGTTACCGCGTCTTGTGGCACAATAATATCATTTTTCGCATTTCATTATGGACTTCAACTTAGGGAATCATGAGGTCAATTACTTTAAAAAGTAGAAAGGAAAAATATTACTTACCATTTTATAATATTAAATATGAACTAACTCTAACAATTTTTGCTATTTATTTTATGAGACTTAACAGTTTTGTCTCTTAAAACTATTAAATAATTTCAATTTTAACCTTAACATTTTTAGCTATGACGGTACACACTGTCGGTATCATTATCACAAAAAACTTGAATGTTTTCGACGTTTTTTGTGGAACATTTTAGCACTAACCCGTTTTGAAGTTTACTCAAGAAAGTACAACAATGCAGTGAAATGAATACGTAGGGTCGAGGCAGGTAACGTAGCGGCTGATTAGAAAATGTTTTTTGTCTATATTTTGTGATTCACTCTTTAAAACTGTGCTCGATATGGTGTAATAATTTTACTACATGTGTAATATCATTTGGACGAATATACGAAATATAATAGTGTGTGTATGAGAAGAGAAATACAATAGTCTTTATATCGAATTAAGCCCCAAAATAACAATATAAATTCAACTGAAGGGAAATTTGAGATATGGAAAGTTCTCTATAGTTTATGAATACTGTCAACACAGAAAATTGTAAGATTAAAGTTAACGATTCCGAAACATAGCTGTACATATTAATTTTGCCGGGGTTTTATTCAATACCTAACTAATTAATAGAAATATTTTTCTTATTGATCAAATGAAAGATCATAAGAATAATAACAAAACTTCTGGATTAATAATTACAGATCTTTAGAATGAACAGAGTGTTTTTGTGTTGCCTGGTTATAAGAAATGGACAAATTTTTTACTACATTATAAATTATAAAAAAAAGAAAGATTCGCTCTACTATCTCCTTGATTGACCTTGACTTTAATTTTGACAAAGAATGGTA